ATTCGGAAGAACTTTTATTTTGCTCTTATTTATTAGATATATGAGTGCACAGTATTTGCGTCCTAACCATATTTCGGACCAAAATCCCGAAAGTTACGTTTTTTTATTTAAACATTTATCTATACTTTCGACAAAGTCCTCCTTAATGCCAATAATCGGTTGTGATAGGGTGCATTAACGTAAATATATCTATGTTTGTGTGTATATGTAAGTTATAAATAACAAAAACATTTATTAAACGCAATTTCGAGGCATTGGACGCCATGACTTCATGTGTGTGTGTGTTGTGTATAGATATATATATATATATTATATCTATATATATTATATATATATATATATATAATATATATATATGTATATATATATATATATATATATATAATATATTATATATATATATATATATATATACATATATCTATATTATAGATATATATTTATATATTTTATATAAGATTTATATAATTTACTATATATTTAGAGACTACTAGCCCTATTATGATATATCTTTACTATAAGAGCATATATTTATCCTATATATTATATGATATATCTCTATCTAAATCTATCTCTATTATATATATATAATATATATATCTATATATAGATATTATTATATATATATATATTATTTCTATAGTCTCTCTCTAGATAATTATCTGCTCTCGATATCTATCTCTTCACCGTCTACTCATATATCTCTATTCATCGATCTTTATCTCTATTCTATTCTTATCTCTTATCTATTCAATATATATCGAGCCTCCCGCATCTTAAGATCACCGCACCGCCATCTTATCATATTCTCGTCTATACTATACGAATTATACCTAGTCCCTCTCTCATACTTCAAAAGCCACCAGACCTACCTCTATATATATTATTATTCCACGCCTAGACTTATCTGACCCCCTATCCCTATCATCCTAGAGCCCCCCTAAGCACCGGCTACCTAGTACCTACTCCCCCCCGTTATCCCGGTCATGCTGAAGAACGACCCCGTCTATACCTATATTATAGTATACCCCGTCACGCAGCATGGATCTATAGTTATCCCCCAGACGCCATCTACTTTACCCTATAGTCACATAGCAGTTAGATCGTCTATATAGAGACCTATTATATAATAGATTATAATATATATAGAGGGAATTTATGAGTATAGAATATAGTAATATTCTATGTATTATATGTATCTAGGACTATCGACTATATGAAGACTATATATATATTTATGATATGTATATATACGAGATAATTCTGGAATGTTGATTTTTTCCTTGATCATTCGTGTATGGTAAACCTATTGAGTGGTTCTGGATGTGTAGAGGTTTGGGTGGTTCGTAGTGTTTTTTCGCTACATTCCTGCCGACGGAGCCGTCAGGTAGAACTTGATAGATATAGATATATTTATATAATAGCTATATGAGAGACCCGAGATACATAATATCGCTACGATATAGGATATGACGATAATGATAGATATGAATCTAGATGAATATGATCTTATAGATAGATAGATATATATTTAGATATATAGATATAATATATCTAATAGTAGAGTTCTAGTACCATAGAAGATGTATAGTATATAGATATGATTATAGATATATATAGATATATAGATTGATACGACAATAGATAGTTATCTAGAGATGGATAGAGAATAATATATCTATATAGATTTCTGAGACATAAATAGTATTTAGGTATATATCTATATATATAGATATATAATCGATTCATATAAGTAGTCTAGATATTTAGGGTATAGATATATATATATAGTGATACTTACTTATATATCACTATATATATATATTATACATATATGGTTTATCATATTATATATATATATATATATACAGTATATATATACTGTGTATATATGTCTTATATATATATAATAATAATATATATATATATATATATAGTATATATATAATATATGTGTGCGTGTGTGTTGTGGGTGTCCGCTACCTTGTGTTTTAAAGACTAAAAGTTGCAACATTTCAGGCCTTGTACAGCCTAGACGCTTTACCCAATTTTTCCAGTTTTGAGTACAGATTTCAGAACTTTCAGTAAAGTTATCCTATTTTAATGACTTTAATTGTGTATATACATAAGACACACACACACACAACACAAACATACACCTACACCACACAAACACACATATTTATATATATATATACCTATATATATATATATATATATATATATATGTAGAAAAGGTATGAATAGGAATGGATATCTTCACAATACAAGAGATATTCATTCTCATTCATACCTTTTCTACATTTGTCAACAAGAACACGTTTCATATATATATATATACAAATATATAAAAATATATGAATAAATAAATAAATAATAAATATATATATATATATATATATATATATATATATATATATATATATATATATATTCGGAAGAACTTTTATTTTGCTCTTATATATGTATATATGAGTGCACAGTATTTGCGTCCTAACATATTTCGGACCAAAAGCCCGAAATTTCACGTTTTGTTAATTTAAACATTTATCTATAAATTTCGACAAAGTCTCCTTAATGCACAATAATCGGTTGATAGGGTGCATTAACGTAAATATATCTATGTTTGTGTTGTATATGTAAGTTTAAATTAACAAAACATTTATTAAACGCAATTTCGAGGCATTGGACGCTCATGACTTCATGTGTGTGTGTGTGTGTGTATATATATATATATATATATATATATATATATATATATATATATATATATATATATATATATATATATATGTATATATATATATATATATATATATATATATATATATATATATATATATATATACATATATATATATATATATATATATATATATATATATATATATATATATATATATATACATATATATATATATATATATATATATATATATATATATATATATATATATATATATATATATTCCCGTCCGATCAAAGGTTCCGAGAGCGACTGTGAATATGACAGTTGTAAAAGACAGCTGGCATTCCAACAGTCGGCTTTGACACTATTTTTTCTGAAAAAAATACAGACTATAAACTGGGCTGTAAATCGTAATCAAGCGAGCTAGCACGCGCAGTTTAATAAAATTGTGCTCACCGCACCCTTCCCTGGGGCAAGGTCTATATATATATTTATTTAAATTTTGCCCCGGTGACTGAATTGCGGGGCCCGTACCAGCCTTTCAATTATACGGCCGATAGTCTCTAAGCGGTGATAAACAGCGGTTATTTTCGTCATTTCGCAGTAATCATGAGGTCGGAGCAGCTGTACCTGTATTACTTATTTCACTATTTTTTATGCTCTATAAGATGGCTGTGTTCATTTCCCTCTATCTCTGTGCGTCACTCTCTGTTCCATTAACCGCACTGATATCTTTACCATACTTTACCCTCAGAGAAATACGTTTTCTGTATGATCGTGCTGTGCGAGGTCCTCTGACCGTGTTAAGAGATTTAAGGGAGGATAGGAGTATCAAGGATGACGAGCTCCACCAGGTATCGGTCTTATTTTGATGTTAAATCTGAAGATCGTTCTTTCAGTCCAGGTGACGAAGTTTTAGTATTATTGCCAAGCCAAGCTATATACTTTTGGGGACTTGTGTGGATATTTTTCAATTATATGTATACATATGTATATATATGTATATATGTTTATATGTATATATATATATATATATATATATATATATATATATATATATATATATATATGTATGTATATATATGTATATATGTATATATTGATATGCATCAATACAAGTGCATTAATACATATGTATCAATATAAATGCATTAATAAAAATGCATCATTACATATGTATCAATACAAATGCATCAATACAAGTGCATCAATACATATGTATCAATACAAATGCATCAATATAAATGCATTAATACAAATACGTCAGTACAAATCCATTAATACAGATGCATTAATACATATATATAATTACAAATGCATCAATACATATGCATCCATACAAATGCACTAATACATATGTATCCATACAAATGCATCAATACATATGTATCCATACAAATGCATCAATACATATGTATCAATACAAATGCATATATACATATATATATCAATACAAATGCATTAATACATATGTATCCATACATATATATCAATACAAATGCATTAATACATATGTATCCATTCAAATGCATCAATACGTGTGTATCAGTACAAAAGTATAAATATCTATATATCTATATAAATGTATACATTTATATAGATATACAAGGCGAAGTCCTAGAGGTAGTGGACAAGTATACATACCTAGGGCAACCCGTACAGACAAACACATCTAGCGAAGAGGAACTTAAGCGATGCATCAGGCTTAGCTGAGAGAGACACTAGAAGCCACAGATGCTTGTCATGTGGCTCGATTGTCAGGGGATTGCAACTTGCATCATTCTCTGGTGCGAAGGACTAGGTCACTGCTGAGAAGGGATAAGGAACAGTTTATCAGGAATTTCGCAGAATGTCACAGAGGTTGCAAGTGCGCTGGCCTGAGTATTTTGAATTGTTGTTTCAGGTTGATCCACCAACAATTAACCAGACCCCCCCATCTGCAAGATCCACCCCCCTGACTGAAGTCAGGGGAGCGATTTCCAATCTGAAGAGTGGTAAAGCAGCAGGTGTTTGCGGCATCCCAGCTGAACTGTTAATGGCTGGTAGAGAACATGGCAAGGGGCTTGCATGCTGTCCTGTCTGCCATCTGGCAGACTGGTACCATTCCCCCTGACCTGCTGAGGGGTGTAATCATTCCTTTCTGGAAGGGGAAAGGGGAATGCAGCAATCACCAAGGCATTACATTACTCAGTATACAAGGCAAGGTACTTTGCACATCCAGCTGAAACCCATCAGATACCACCTGCTGAGGCACCAGAGGCTGGAACAATCTGGATTTACTACTGGTAAGTCCACAATAGACTGTATCACGATGCTTCGAGTCATTGTAGAGTGCCATCGTGAGTGTGAACGTGGGCTGCTCGCACCTTATATCAACCTCACTAAGGCATTTGACACCGTGCATTGCGAATCACTCTGGGAGATCCTGAGACTAAGACGAATTCCGACGAGGATTATTGGATTAATAGCAAACCTATATACAGGCACTGGAAGTGTTGTAAAGTGTGGTGGGGGCCTGTAGAGCTTCTACCCTGTTAGTTCAGGTGAGTGGCAAGGCTATGTTTTTGCACCAACACTTCTCAACACTTGCATGGACTGGATACTGGGTAGAGCTACTGTCCAAAGTCACTGTGGAATAACTCTTGGCAATATCAAGGTTACAGACCTTGACTTTGCTGATGATGTTACTATTCTATCTGAATCTTTGGAAACCCTATGGCGGCTCTTGATGCATTTAGCAATGGAGGGAAGCCCCTGGGGCTAGAAGTCTCCTGGACTAAGACAGACCAAGATCCAGGATTTTAGGGGCCTACGAGGAAACCTTGTGCAGTCGATACATGCTTGTGGTGAAAACATCTAGGTCACAGAGAGCTTTATAAACCTCGGTAGTGCAGTTCATGACTCTAGGCTGTCACACCAGGAAGTCAGTAGATAGATTAGCCTGGCAGCAGGGGTCATGAAATCTCTTGACAAGAGTATTTGGAGATGCCGGTACCTGTGCAGAAGGTCCAAGTTTTGTCTCTTCAAGGCCCTGAAACTGCCAGTTTTACTATATGGTAGTGAAACCTGGATGCTATCTTGTGCTTTGGAATCTCGTCTTGATGCCTTTTATAACAGGTAATTGCGCCGGATCATGGGGTACAGTTGGCGGGACCATGTGTCAAACCAGCGGTGAGACCGGTACAGGACCTATTACTTGCACAATCCGCGATCACCAACTCAGGCTATATGGCCACTTGGCTCGATTCTCGCAGGATGACCCTGCTCACCAGGTTGTCTCTGTTCGAGACAAGCTTGGGTGGAGAAGACCTGTATGGAGAATGTCCCCCTTTTATTCAGCGGCTACATCCTGGGCGGTGCTTGCTTCCGCAGGCTGGAGTGTCAGGTTTATCAGGCCGTGACAGAGGGGTGAGTCGCTGGGCATGCTCGAGGGGGACATGTATCATATGATTGATTGATTATTTAGAATTATCTGCCGTGTCAACAGCTAAGGTCATTAGCGGCGAACACCTTGTTAGACTGAAATATTAAAATATCTAAAACGTTAAAAATCTATCAATATGTTATAAATAACAATAAATATTATATCAAAAAATCAAAGCACAAACATTATGCTCTAAATGTCTAAAAAATATTGCATAAACATTATGCATAATTAAATCTTATTGAAAATATTAGTTTCCCTTAGGAATCTAATAAGACCTTCCATGTCACAATCCTCCCCCAATACATTTTCCAGTATATATGGGGGAGACAAGTACCTTCGTCTTTGGTCTGAGAATGTTGCACATCTTTCCACTATATGTGCGACCGTTAATGGCTCTTGGCATTCCTCACAGCGTGCTTCACTTTTAGCCATCATCGGCCCATGAGTCAGTCTTGTGTGCCCAATTCTCAGCCTTGTTAATACAACTTCCACTTGTCGGTTGCGATGGATGCTGCTCTCCCAACTGCCAAGGTCATCTCTAATCTCTCGTAGTTTATTTCTAGCGGTATGCCTCCATTGTTCCCTCCATTTATCACGAAGACAACTTCTGATGCTGGGTTTCAAATCAGTGTGTGGGAGAGGAAAACGAGCATCACAAGGCTGAGCGGCAGCTGCCTTGGCCTTCTGATCAGCTCGCTCATTCCCACTGATACCAACATGTGCTGGCACCCAACACAGAGTTATTTTCTTACGTGCTGACATCAATGCAAGCCAATCTTGAACCTCTCTCACCACTGGATGTGATGAGTTTAAGCTCTTGATTGTTTGCAAGGCACTACGAGAGTCACAATATATTGTAATAGAATTGTTCATAAGATCTCTAGTCATCTTGACTTCTGCAAGGATGTCATGTAACTCTGCAGTGAAAATCGAGGCTGATCGAGAAAGACTGCCAGATGCAGTCTTCCTTCTGCTCACTGCTGCAAAGCCCACACCATTTTCAGATTTCGAACCATCTGTATATATTGCATATGATCCCTGGTACTTAGAAGTGTGTTGAAGAAATATCTCTCTGACTTCTGCTTCGGATCTCTCCCCTTTCCCAATACCGACCAAATCAAGCTCGACTTGATTAGTCCAAGGGGGGACTTGGGAAGTTCCAACAGCCAGAACCTTTGTGAGATTTAAATTAAGGTCTTCCACAAGATTCCTCATTCTCCTACCATAGGATCGGCTATCCTCAGGGGGTTGAAAACCAATCTGGATGTAGGAGATCCCGGAATCCTTTGTAGCCTCGTGTAGTAAATCAGGTTCAACTAGTCTCCACTCTCAGCATACAGGGACTCCACAGGTGAAGACCTGAAAGCCCCTATACAAATTCTCAGTGCTTCATTATTAACCGAGTCCAACATCCGGAGAACAGTGAGAGTTGCAGATAAATAAGCCTCACATCCATAGTCAAGGTGACTACGAATAAGTGCTCGGTAAAGTCGCAGAAGTGTTGTGCGGTCTGCACTCCAAGATAGGTCGGAAAGAACCTGCAAAATACTAAGCGCTTTTGTAGCTTTCACCTTTAACTGTTTAATATGAGGCACCTATGTAAGCCTTGAGTCAAAAATTAGACCCAAGTACTTTACCTGTTAGACAAAATGTAGTGGGTTTGCTCCTAAATAGAGGTAAGGGTGAAACTTTCCTCGTTTGTGGAAATGCATAGCCGTGGTCTTGCTTGGAGAAAATTTGATACCATGGTACGTTGCCCATTGCACAACCTGTTTTATTGCAGTCTGCATGTGTCCTTGCACATCCTGTAAGCTTCCTCCTGAGCAGTACAGTGTAAAGTCATCCACATACAGACTACATGAGACAGCACTTGGAACGACCTTTACGATGTCATTTATATTAATGGCAAACAGGGTCACACTTAAGATGCTCCCTTGTGGGACTCCTTCCAGCTGATCTTCCAGGTTAGAGAAGCTGTTTCCCACCCTCACTCTAAACTTCCTGTTAGCAAGGAAGCTTTGTATGAAGGTGGGCAATGGTCCTCTTAAACCAGTGTCATACAGCTTCATGAGTATGCCATGCTTCCAAGTTGTATCATAAGCCTTTTCAAGGTCTAAGAAGACTGCTAACATATGGCGTCGCTGTGTGAAGGAATTCTGTATAGCAGTTTCCATCCTCACAAGTGCATCTATGGTCAATCTCAGTTTTCTAAACCCATATTGATATGGGGTCAGCACGTTCTTTTTCTAGCAGCCATGTCAACCTGAAGTTTACCATTTTCTCCATCAACTTGCAGATACAGTTGGTGAGAGAAATTGGTCTATAATTCCCTGGTATGGAAGCATCCTTGCCAGGTTTAGGGACAGGAATGATTATAGCTTCTTTCCATGTGGATGGCACTGTTCCCTCCCTGTAGATCCTATTGAATAGATCCAACAGGAACGTTTGGGAGCTCTCCGGTAAGTGAGATATCATTTGGTATGGAATACCATCACTTCCTGGGGCAGTCTTATGGCAGAGCTGCAAAGCTGAGTCCAGTTGTATGGAAGTTCTGCTGCAGTGCTACTGAAGAACGACACTGAGTTTCGTTCCTGTTCAGCGCGAAGACTGGAGAATCGGGCAGTGTAAGATGCTCCAGACGAGATCTCTGCCATGGATTTCGCCAGCTCATTTGCAACATCTGTTTTGTCTGTGAGGACTATGCCATCTATTTTCAGAGCAGGTAGAGATATGGATGTGCTCTTTCCAGCGATCTTACGCACTTTGTCCCATACCCATGCTAAGGGGATCCCAGAGTTAATCAAGGAGACATACTGCCTCCACGATGTCTGTCTAGCCTCCTTTAGCACTCTCCTGGCCTTGGCTCAGGTCTTTTTGTACTGGATCAAGGTTACATCGCCTGGGCGTCGTTTCAACTGCCTTAATGTAGCTTTTCTTGCTCTGACAGTTTGTTGGCATTCATCAGACCACCATGGTACCGGAGGTCGACGGTACTGCTCGCTACTTCTGGGAATTGATTCTCCTGCAAGGTGAATACGCAATGTGAAGTGATTAACAGCATCTTGAACACACTGGAAATCATTCACAGATCCTTGCAATACTGCAGTTGATCTAAAAAGATTCCAGTCTGCATGTTCAAGTCGCCATCTCTGCACTCCATTGGCTGGAATGCCATTCACCTCTTCCAAAAGTATTGGAAAGTGGTCACTTCCATGTAAATCTTCCATGACCTGCCAAGTGAAATTCAACTGTGAATCAGGTGAACCAACTGACATGTCAATATTGGAGAATGTCCCAGTTTGAATATGGAAATGTGTGGGTGCATCACTGTTCAGTAAAACTGCATCTACTCTTGAGAACAAGGACTCCAAGGCCCTTCCTCGAGGGTTGCACAAAGTGTCTCCCCAGAGGTGATGGCGACCACTGAAGTCTCCCAAGAGTAGAAATGGATGAGGCAACTGCCCAAGTAAATCTTCCAAATCATCTATGTTGAGATTATGTGGAGGGAGGTAGATGGATGCAACAGTGTAAGGTCGTGTCAAGCCTATTCTCACGGCCTTCACCTGCAGTGTCGTCTGCAGGTGGATGGCCTGGAAGGGAATATCCTGACTTACCATCACTGCTACTCCTCCATGAGGTCCATTATCAAAGGTCCCATAATGGGCTTGAACTTGGAATCCTCTCAGCAAAATTGGACGACTTTCCCTGGTCATAATCTCTTGTAGGCATACACAAACTGGATTACAAGAAGCTATCAGATGTTGCAGTTCTTCCCATTTTGCATGAATTCCCTGACAATTCCATTGGATTAGGGTATCCAGTTCTTCAGGTTGACAAGCTACTTCAAGGTGTTTGGCAGCACCTGTGGTTAAGGTCCGCCCCACACCTTTAGGCTGTCCCTTTCCAGCATCTTGGGAAAACCTTTTGATGTTTTGTTTGCTTGTGGAACTAGTTTCCACAGGCTTCCTTTGGACAGGCTCAGGATTTCTTTGCTTGGACAACGGACGGACCTGAGCCTTTGGTTCAGGGGCACTCTGTTTAGCAGCAGAGTCCCCTGTGGATGTGGTGGCTTCTGGAGCCCTGGCTGGTGACTCCAAAGACCCAACTCTATGAGGAGTCTTTTGAATGGGCTCAGGTTTCCTCTGCCTGTGCAAAGGACGTACCTGACCCTTTGCTTCAGGGGCATTCTGCCTAGCAGCAGAGGCCCTTGTGGATGTGGTGGCAGCTGGAGCTGTCACCATTGAGGTCTCTGGAGCCTTTACTGATGCCTCCAAAGACCTTGCTTTGGGAGGAGGAGTCTCCTCAATAGACCCCTCACTCCTACTTCGTTTCTGGTGGACCAACTCACCAGAATCAGTTTCAGCATTTGAGGACTGATGTTCAACGGTAGTGGCAGAGTGTGTGGTGTTAGAAGTATTAGAGGGTAAGGAATGGCGGGAAGGAGGATGGGTTAGAACTGAGGCAAACGACTTACCCGGCTGTGCAAATAGCACACGGGCACGTCGCTTTGCTTCTGCAAAACAAATTTTCTCCTTGCTTCTTATTACCAATACTTCTTTTTTCAAATCTGTACCTTTTACATTGCTTAGAAGAAGCTTCATGATCTCCTTTGAAGTGGTAACAGCATATTGGACCTGGACAGTTGTCATCTCCTTGATGACCTGTTGTACCACATTTCACACACACTCTTGGTTGTCCATTTTCCTTAAAACGGCAAGTGTTGGCTCCGTGCCCATAACCCTGGCAGTGGAAACACCGCATAGGTTTTGGTACATATGGCTTGACCTTGAGGTTATGTGCCAACTTAACCGATTCAGGAAGGACTAAGGATTCAAAAGTTAGAAGAATAGCTGGTGGCGACTGTTCCAAACCATCAACTTTCTTCTTAAAACGTTTTACTGCTACTACATTAAAATTCTTCAGTTCTTCTAACAGTTTCTCCTCAGAATACCTCATCAGGTCTCGGGAAAAGACAATTCCCTTACACTGATTGAGGGTTTTGTGAGGAGAACATGAGACTTAAGCCCCAGGACTGTCGCATATTATACGCAGATGGAATGAACCAGGGGTGGGTGCACCATCCCCTCTCATAGGCCTTGGTGCACCTGGAAGCCATTTTGTCTCATCCCTCACTGGTGACCCCTCCAGTATGGGTAGCCCTCTGGTCCGGCTCACCAGATCATTGGGACCTCAAGCCTCCCCAACGCGGCAAGGCGGCTTCCGTTAGGGGGGTGTATCATATGAGTGACACGAGAGATGGACTTAAGGTGGATAATGAAAGTGGCCTTGGCTTTTGGCTTTATTCGCTACAAGGTGAGTGGATACAAGCTGAGCTCCTTCTGCCGAGGTATGGAGAATGTCCCCCTTTTATTCAGCGGCTACATCCTGGGCGGTACTTACTTCCGCAGGCTGGAGTGTCAGGTTTATCAGGCCGTGACAGGGGGGTGAGTCGTTGGGCTTGCTCGAGGGGGACATGTAGGTCACCTAGGAGGTCCTTGGGTAAACCAGACTCAGGAATGGAAGGTGCGAAGTGGCTGCTTCCTGTGATAAGGTGTACTCAGGAGGCAGCGACGGGAAGGCGCAGCCTTTGTTCAGTCAGGGACAGATGTGTGGAGCACTAACTTCCGGATGTTGTTTATATATGACTGTATATGTATATACAAGTATGTGTATATATATATATATATATATATATATATATATATATATTTATATATATATATATATATATATATATATATATACATATATATATATATATATATATATATATATATATATATATATATATATATATATACATTTATATATGTATATATATGTGTATATATGTATGTGTGTGTGTGTGTATATATATATATATATATATATATATATATATATATATATATATATATATATATATATATATATATATATATGCATATATATATATATATATATATATATATATATATATATATATATATATATATATATATATATATGCATATATATATATATATATATATATATATATATATATATATATATATATATATATATATATATATATATGTATACATGTATATGTATGTAAATACATATGTGTAATATATATATATATATATATATATATATATATATATATATATATATATATATATATATATATATATATATATATTACACATATGTATTTACATACATATACATGTATACATATATATATATATATATATATATATATATATATATATATATATATATATATATATATATATATATATATATATATATATATATATATGCATATATATATATATATATATATATATATATATATATATATATATATATATATATATATGCATATATATATATATATATATATATATATGCATATATATATATATATATATATATATATATATATATATATATATATATATATATATATATAT